TTAGGGTTGTAAGACAAAACACCCGACCCACCCGCCCGATACCTTGTAGTCGTCGAGGGAGGTGCCTTCTGACAAGCAGGACTCACACGTGGGGGTTGGGGTTGTTGTTGTGGTGGTCGGCGGAGGCGTCAGCTCTTGTCAAAAAACATAGACCTAACCCCGTATCAAACCCTCCCTTTTCGGTAGTGAGTGGATGGTATGCCTCGCGATTTCCCCCTATCGCTCCCACCACACTCACTACCCGGACAGGATGGGTGCTACAACAAGCAACCCAGACCGAATTACTGATACGAGGTAGGTATTTAATATAGAACCAAGTATATATGTTATGGATGGTCTCCCCAAAATACGACGGTAGCACCAGCATTTGACAAAAAGCATCATCCAACATCAAGAACATCATCAGCATTTACCAGCATCACCATTTGAAACGTGTCAGGCGTCTGGCGTCTGCCTCATAAAGGAGACCATCCAATATTCTATATATTGAAAAGGGGAAGGTTTCCAACCCTCTTCATGAGCAAGACCTTTTTGTAGCATGTCCATCGAGCAACTTCTTCAGGTTTCTGATGTGAGTGTCCTTATTGCATGACCACGCAATAACCACAGCAAAGACCCGCAATAACCATTGCAAAATGGTTTTTTGTATGGTTTTTTCCCTTTGAAAAAAGGCACCTTGCAATAACCCTTTTGTGGCTCATTTTGAAGGAAAAGTCAATTCATTGCAACCCAACGCAATAACCTTTGCAATAGGCGGTTTTCAGGGTCAAAAAGCACTGTTTGCAATAACCATGGTGGTCAGGTGCAATAAGTGCTCACAAAGCAAGACCACGGAGGTCAATGTCATCATCGCTTTCATGAGACATTTTCTCTTTTATGGTGTTTGACACCATGGATTGGAACTCCTGCCATGAAATGTTACCAGCCGATGTGTCTCCAAATTCGGAAAGCACGGCGAAATACAATGCTTCAAACAGCAACTCATTTACCGTTTTCTTCTGGGTGGCGAGGTTCTCAAGGTTGCGGATGTCTTGACCAAACATGATGTTCCCCATTGTTCGGCATCTGTCCAAGGCTCGTGTTGAAGACGCGACCACCTCCGATGACACTCTGGAAAGGGTTTCCTCGTTCAACTCTTTGCTAATCAACGTCATGGCAGTCTTTGGGCACTTATCCACGAGGTTCAGGATGGTAAGCACCTTGTTCTTGGCGGTGTCAATGACGGGACTCAAACCTGACGGGTTGGAAATCCTCAGCATTTTCATCCCCATGTTCTCCTGCAACTCATTCATCAGGGACTCCTTATTCTTGGACTGAACGGAAGAAGAACCACGTTTTCCACCACCACGGCTCATGGTCTGAACCACGATTGTGTCCATATCTTTCACGTTGTTGGCGACAAAGGAAAGATGGGTGAAGAGGTTGTCCCCACGGCTGTTGATGAACCTAATCCACGAAGCCTTCACCTTGTAGGTCGAGTACAGCAAAGCCTTCAGCATCTTCAACTGCCACGTTGGCTTCACCTCATAGGACTTAGTCAAATGGATGCCAATCGTATTCAGTTGCAAGAACACCGTGAAGGTCTTGTCAGTGAAAAAGCCACCTTCGTTGTCATCGCTGGGTTCATCGCTGGGATTGTCGTCTTCATCCTTTCTGTCATCATCGCTCTGGTTGGGGTCATTGTGTCCATCACCTCCTTGGGGTGGGTCAGTTGGTGAAGCACTGGGAGTAGGAACAGGAAGCATCTCTGTTTCGACGGTGAAGTCTTTGAACTGAGAGACGAGTCCCTTGTTGGAAAGGAAAGCAAACAACTGCTGTGTCTTGACTTTCTCTTCTTGAAGTTCCCGTTTGAGTCTCGTGGCGTAGTGCTCCCTGACCATTCTTGTAGAAGATGACGGTTTGGACAACATGGTGGGAAATGAGTCTAGACTAGGAGAACTACACCTGTGAAAGCACGAGCGTCGCAATTGACTTGTAATTGAAATGTAATGTCAAGGTCAAGTATTTCAATGACACCATGCCTCTGTCAAGCGACTGCTAGTTGCTGGGCAAATCATAACATCATCAAGAAACAGCGTAAGGTCGGGTTGTTGTTTGTCCTCCGAACTCACTACAGGTTTGCATCTTGTGCTGATGCAAGAAGGCGGAACTGTCAAGATTGTGTCCTGACATCGTCGCCAAACACCGTTATGGACTCAGGCACTTCTCTTTGAGACACAGCTGTAATGTTGAACCATCAACATGTGCAAAGAGGTTTTCAAGGCTAGAGTCTCGGTGATTTTGCTATCCGAGCAGTGAGACATCTACTCATCTTCGTCTTCCTCCTCGTCCTCGTCCTCGTCCTCGTCCTGCTCCTCGCTGACGTTCTCCGCATTGACTGACGACGCTGCCTCTTCATCCACCGTCTGCGACGAAGCTGGGACATCGCTCGACATCATTGCCACCAGGACCATGTTATTCACAACGTTGAGATGTACCAGAGTTTTGCGTGGGGCAAGGTGCAAGGGCTTCCCGTTCATGAAGATACACAAGTCCTTCGCCTTGTCCTTCGGAATCTTGCTCATGGGATTCAAGGTGTTGAAGTGGGCGATGATGAGACGTCGAAGCTCACCGAGTGTCGTGGTTATCGGGACAGTGAGTGAGAACATGAGACCAGACAAGCCATAGCGAATGTTGAGCGTGATGGGTTGCATTCGGCGAGTAGCTTCAGTCTCCTTCTTGGTCGCGCGGTCTTCTGCTGACTTCCTCTTCCGCTCCTCTGCCTTGCGCTCCTTCTCACGAGTTGCCATGGTGTCCTTAACCTGCTGGTATGCTGACAAGTAGTTCTTCAACTTCTTCTCCACTGCAGACATGTAGCCCTGAAGAGAGCCGAAGTCCGTCCCCGCCAACTTCTCATGAACATCTTCAAGGGTGAGCATCTCAAAGAGACGTGTAATCTCTTCTTCATCCTCTGGTGAGACCTCCACCTGTTCGAACTTCTTGGGCGTCTCTGGTTGCTTCTTGGGCGACATTGCAGTGCGAGCAAAGAATATCGGAATGACGAACCGTGTTGCTACAAATGGCCAATGAGGTAAGACAAAGTCTCAATCTGGAACCTGAACCGCTATGCCAAAACAAAAGACCCACCAACACCTTAGAACTTGATAACTACTAAAAGGGTTAACTCTTTCAAATGAAAAAAATGTTTGCCCCCAGCCCAACAATGAACAAGGCAACAAAAACCCAAATGTTCCACCTCTAACAAAACGATAAACAAGCTCCCCAAAAACCCTCTATTAAAAACGAATAAGGGGGAACATAGATTTGAGATGAACATAAAAACCAGAACAGGCAACCCTCAACAGGCCACCCCCCAGGCCCCCTACTTTTACCATTTTTTGGGGGTGGGGTGAGTCATGTGCTCAAAATTCGGGGATTGATGAAGGTGAGTAAGGGAGGATCCCAACCAGAAGCTGCGGGTATTTGCCTTCTAAATGCTTTACATGGTTCTGGGTAGACCATTTTAAGACCGGGTTTTGATTATGACTCAGGTGTCTTTTTGTAGGGGCGGGGGGGGGGAGGGGCCCAAAAATGGCAACGCCAGAAGGGGTACACTCAAGAAAGACACGCCCGAATTTGTGGTTTCTACCAGTTGGAAGCACCTCGAAGTGGTAAAGTGCTGGACATGGATCCCCAAATGTTTATAGGGTCCCCAGTTAAGATTTCTGCCCGAATACGGGTCCGCCAATTGATAAACTAGTACGCACAAGGACTCAAACCAAACAAGTATTGTTTTTTTTTGATTTGAGCGAGTCTTGACGATGAGCAAACAAAGCAAATGTTCAGCGGGTTGAATTGAAGCAGCCCATGCAGTTGTTTTGCAAGGTTGGTTGCAAGACGAACACATGTTCACAGCCTTCAATGTCATGGGCATGCGATTTCTCGGGTGCCCAGAAGACAGCGCCATTCATGTAGACTGGTTGTGCGGCATGTCATGCTGCAAATGTTGCCACCTCTGGTTGTTGGGGGGTTTTCTGAATTGAGAGCCAACTCAAATCAATGCCGTTGACAAAAGTTCCCCACCGAGGAATCAAGCCATGCTGATGCTGAACAACGAGCCATTTCCCAAGTTTGGGCTGGATAGCAGAGGGTGTACTGTCATCGCTCCTGGGCAGGAGCAATCTTATTTCGTTGAATGGTCGACATGTTGAGCTGGTTGCTGAGATGGTTCAATCCGTTTGACAATCCTATGAAGCTTTCTTTTACCAGTTGTTTTTTAGGTTTTGGTACTTTATCATTTTATTTGTGTGTGTGTGTACTTTAGTAGTCCATGCGTATCTTCGTTTTTGCTATGTCTATGTGCATCACCAGAAATCCAGATGCTAAGAATTCCCAGATGTTAACAGCATTAGAATACAGCAAGTAAGTCTCAGCATAACAAACATAAAGTAGACCATTAGAACATCACATATTTGTATATATATATATACACCCTAAACAATACGCATGCAGCATGTTGAATGGACAGGCAAGTCCTTGCTGTCTTATTCGCAGTCTGCGCTGGGACTAAGCCACGGTGTGTCTATGCAACTCTAAGCCCACCTGAATGCACCCAACAGAAATCAGACACCCTGAGCCTTCCCAGAACTGTGTCCGAACCTGTGGCTCGCGCCAGCGTGCGCCGGCACATCAGCTCTAAGCAATAGCTAGCCTCCAGCCCCAAAGGCTGAAATCAGCTTTCCGAGCTTGCCGACAGATTGCCAGGACGCTGTCAACAGCGGCCACGCAAGCGCCGCCGCCCTCCCTGCACTTGAGGCAGGGGCAGAATTGAGTTCATGCGGGAACCCCACGGATTAAACTCCTTCGGCTTCCCTTTCCAAGTGTGTTCTCAGAAAAGGCGACGCACCTAAATCAAGAGAGCATGCTCCATCCAGCGAGCATCGCTGGCACGAGTGCCATGTTTGACTGGTGCCCGGGCTCCCTGGCCTGCAACCGGACGATTCCGTTGTGCAAGCTCAGGCATGGTGCAGAACTTTTTACTGAGCTTCAATTGGATTTGTCAGAATGTCCCAGTGAAAGTGCCAGCAGGGAGAAGGCGTTGGCCGGTCCAAAGCGCTGAGCTGACGGCGATTTCCCGATTTTTTCCGCAGGCAGCTGAACCCCTACTTGGACTCCTCCAGTGGACGACTCAGACCGCTTCACACCTGGCTTGAGTTGGAGGGCTGACACACAAATTTTCAGACAGGCCCCATGGTGTCGTTGAACAGAGTGAAGAGGATTCGTCATTTTGAGGAGCGCTTTTAAAGGCTCGAGATTGGGGTGATCCATTTCTCGCGACCGTTCACGGGTTGTTCTTCAGAAGATGGGGGGTGTCTGTTAGGGGACCCCTCCCAAAATGGGGGGTTTCCTTTTGGTTTCCCTTTCAACCAACCCAAACAGGGTAATTGCCCTCAAAAAGAAAGACCCAATTACCACCCATTTTGCTTGCTTCGAGGGCACTGAACCACCGCCACAAATCGTACACGTTTTGAGCTGCTTGCCCCTTCACCCTGCCGAGGGATATGGTTCCTGGTGGAAGGTCGAGAGCAGATCCCTGAAAAATTGGGGCGGGATGAATTCCCCCCCTCACCTGACAACTGGCCATGGGTGAAAATCCAAATCGGTTAGCCCCCAGTGAACGGGACCCAATCCAACCACTAAAATAGGTCCTAAAATGGGTATTCACCAAAACCCCCAAAATGGATGACCCATTGGTTTTGACAACCACAGCCAAATAGATGCATGGCTTCTGGATCGCCCGTAACCACACTACGGCGGGCCAAGCTGGGGGCCTCAGTCTGGTACCCTCTAGGCACCATCGCAAGCGAGAGCCTACTGCCGGGAGCCTCAGTTTGGGCAGATATGGCAGATGTCATGGCCCCAGCATGTCAAGAAATTGGGGGCATTTTCTCGGAATTTGGACAACTTGGGCCATTTTTTTTGATATGTTGGGCAATTTCTCGGTGCGTTTTGGGCGTTTTGCGGCCATTTCTTGGTGTGTCCTACGGTCTTGCGTTTTCGGGCAATGTCTCATCTTTTTTTGGACGTCGTTGGGCCAATTAGCCAGGTTTTTGTTGGCTTCCATTTGGTTAGGAATATGTTTTATCTTCCCCTCTTGGTTTTAGAGGAAATCGAATTCACTACTGGAACCATTTGCTCATTTCTCCAGGGGGCGAACAAGCAAATGGAAGATTCAAGTACCAGAGGTGCCTCTTTCTGTCATGGCCACCTCAAAGGCCTGGGACAAAAACGCCAATGGAGGCTGGCCTTCGGTTTTTCCGGATCCGCGTAGCTAAAAACCTGTGATCCGCGAGAACAAACATGCCGAGGCTCCGGTTCCCGGCGGCCTTCTGCGGCGTGAACTCTGCGGGCTTCGGCGGACGCCCGAGTGACATGGGGTCTCGTCTATGATTGTTTATTGCATATAGATATATATATATATATACATATATTTATATACATATACAGAGGTGCATTTTGCTCGGACGTTAGGACTTTAACTTTTTGCCAACTGATGGTTTTCCATTAAAGCAAACCAGTATATATATATAGAAATATACATATATATATATATATACACATGCATACATGTATTTGTTCGCTGCGCCATTAAAAAAAAAAAAAAAAAAAAAAAAAAAAAACGGGGGCGTCCTAACAAGGACGCCCAAGTGAGTTCATGCTTCTCAAGAACATAGGGGATCACAGAGATGTTCACACAAGAGATCCTTGGCTTTTCGTACCTTGTTTCACCCAACTTGCAGGGCGGTCACTGCCACCAATCTGCTTCATGCCTTCAATCGGTTTTGCTTATTCCAAATCTCCCCCGCAGGCCTAGGCCCCACGGGGGAGAAGTGTACCCATTCTCAGGGATGCCTGTGACTATTCTCTCCCCACCTATCCTTGACCTCTCACTCCATGTCCCAAACGGAAACGTTGCCCAAGCCTCTGACTGGTCTTTCCACTTATCGCACATGGGTTTCGTCTATGAGCATTTGTTATATATATATATATATTTGTTCCTTGCGCCATTTCGGGGGTGCTATTCTCTCTCCACTTATTGGCCTCTCACTCCATTTCCCAACCGGATGTTGGCCCAAAAGAAGGGACACATACGGGAGTCAACTGGATGTCAAAGGCTGGTTCCGCCCTCTGCCACACTGAAGGGAGCGCCTCAAGGTAGCTTTGCCTCGCTACGTTTTTGGGTGTCCAGTGCTGCAAGTGGCCCTGTGAAGCTTCCCTATTTGGCCATGATTGTTAATTTGGGAACCACCTAGAGTGACTGGTGGACATGAGTCCCCACCTAAATGATGTCCAGCAAAGGATCCCGGATAGAAATTCATGGCCATTTGGAGACTGGGACACTGACGACACTGGGCGCTGCACATCTGCAGTGAAATACGGGCGCATGAAAATGGCTCATCCTCTGGTATTAGGGGTCTTTGTGCTCATGGAAAGCCTGACCCTTTCTTCAAAGTTCGCTGCACAACGCATCAATCGGCCCCTCAGCTGATGGTAGTTGATAAGCAATTGGAAGAACTCGCTACGCACGCTGATACCATCCGCAGCTGTTTGGCGCCGGGCTCGCCACAGCTTCGGCCTCTCTGAGACGAGAGAGGCGGCCGCCGTTTTGGGAGAGTCACGAGTCGATTGGGAGTTCTGACGTCTGACCCTCGTGCAACCCACAACCGAACCTTTTGCCAACTTGGGATTGCACACTGAGCTCACGGCCGGTTCGAATGACAACCTCACATGTGGGGAACGATGATCTCGATGTTGGGCTCGTGCCCCTTTGCCCCTTTCGGCATGTCATGTCCTGTCGCCATGTTGCACAGGTGATTTGTTTGTTTAACCCAGACTTCCCGCACAGTGATCGAACATGAAACACGCCTGATTCAGATATGCTCATTGAAACACACCTGATATTCTCATGTACTGTTTTGAAACACACATGAAACACACCAGATATGCTCATTGAAACACACATGAAACACAACTGTTTTTGTTTGGATAGAATTCCAAGCAGTGTCAGGTTGAGAAGGCGGTAGTGATAGTCTCCGTCGTTGCGGATCCCGAGCTTGGCTCAGTGGCGTAGATACGACCACTGGAGCATCATGACTGCGCGTTTGGAACGTCGTAAGATGGTGCTCTTTTTTCTGTTATTAAAGGACTGTTTGAGTGCACCGAGGCTAGAGCCGAAAAAAATCGGTGACTTGCAGATGGGCCGCGTTTCCATTTTGTGTGGTGATGTGTAAACTGCAGATGTGCATGGAGCCTAAAAGGCGAGTCCGGGACATTTCTCTCATTTGTTATCTCCCCCAAGTGACGCAGGTTTTTCTTGGTGTCTCAAAATAGGGGACCCCCATCCCTCCCAAAAAAAGAGAAAGGAAAGGAAGAGAGAAAGGTACCAGTTCCATGGACCCTCCCCGATTCTGATTCGCTTGTCTTGCAGGCGGCGGAATCAAGTCCGCCAGATCCGGTCATGGGCCGCCGCTTCATGCGGAATGGACGTCGCGGGGGTCAGGTGCAACTAGAAAGCTACAGAAATGAGTTCCAATACCGAAGAAACAAATTGCCCGCTCTCCCCGCTCTCCCATGCATCGTGTTGAGGTGACACAGTATTTTTACTGACTCCATCACAGTCTGTGGCATGCTGGGGGACGTACAAAAATAGAGGTGAAGACCAATGTTCCCATGTTCCCCCCTGATGAAAAATTGCCTTGGTTGATTCGGTTGGGGGTGCTTTCCGTGATTTTTGCAAGCCATAGTTGATGAGTATTGAACCCCCCAACCTGACACCGCCTCTCAGCTTTTTGCGGTCAAAACTGGGGAGATGCCCAGAAAAAGCAGCCTTAAGGTTGATGTTTGGGTTTTTTTCTCTATATTCCCTTCAAGGGGCCCAGCTTTGACGGGTCACTTTCCTCATGCGGGACATGTTTCCCCGAGAATCCTATGTAAAGGACCTTTCGATCAACCTCCATTTCATTTGGTAGTCCAATTTTGACATATGGGGCGTTAACGCAAATTGCGTACTCGGAAGAGAAACACGTGTGTGATTAGATTTAGCCCCTTGTGTGTCTCACTGCCATTTGCCCGGGACAAGGTGCATAAACTTGCTTGAGGCAGTCCAGGGGCTACAGTTGGGTATGTCAGCGCCTGTTGGTGACATTTGGAAGGGATGGCCCCATTGTGAAAAGAGCCATATATTTCCGGTCAGTTTAGTTTCGTTTGGACACACCGCACATGTTGATATTCCCAAGATACAGAGTGCGTATTGAGCCGCAAGCTGGATACGTGTGGATCGACATGGCAAACAACGGCAAACATGTGGCCTGCCTATCTCATTCCCAGCGGTTCCTTGGAGTTCCCAGCGGGTCATTTTTTTCGGTGTCCTCACCTGGCCTTGCAGCCACTCCCAAAGCACCGGTTGGATGAGCCGAGCCGCACTTGTTGGATGTTGCGGTCGATGGGCACGATGGATTCCCCCAAACATACGTTCCTTCGCGAGCAAGCCAGTGGGAGTGAGTGCTGCTGGCGTTAGGTGAACCGAGCAAGCTTTGACCCACCATACTTTCCTCTGATTGACATGCCCAACAGGCCCTGATTTTGAGAGAATCTCCTTTTGGGGAACCCCTAAAAATGGGTTCCATGGAAAAAACGCGCGTGACGGTCGTCGGTCGTGTGTGTTTGGGTGTTGCAATGTCCTGGACACGCTAAGGAAGAAGCGAGTCAGCGGATAGAAAGAAGAAGGACAAGGACAAGGACTCCGCTTGGGGCAATGCCCAAGCCTGGTCAGAATCGATAGAGATCTACCCCTTTTTTGTTGAGGGTGGGTGGGAGTGGGGGGGCGATGCGAAGTGCTAAACTCGGTGAAACTCTGCGCCTCAATCAGTTTGAGCAGTGCATTTTAATTGCCAGATGGCCTTTGATGTATGTGGATTGGGGTTACATCTACGGCGAATGCCAAGCCCTCATTGATCCACCCACAAAATATTGGCGCTTCCTTCTCCGCCCAGAAGCCTGGTTTCCGGTTTTCGGGTCTGCGCACAGGAGAAGAAGAAGGATAAGGACAAGGAGAAGAAGAAAGACCGAAGTAGAAGCCGGGGAAGGGCCGCTCGAGCAAAAAAAGCAAAGCGCATCCGGAATGTGGACGCATTTTGATCAGAACTGTGGGCCGCTTTTATTTTCGTTTGTGGGCCAATTTGAGGGGATATCAAACTTATGACCTGCTCCCCATGGAGCATCCGTCCTTACGGCCGCTTCCCCAAGCCCAAGCCTTCAGTTCTTCAAAGCGCATCGACCTTTGGACCTTTGGGTTTTGCCAATTTTTGGGTCCATTGGTCATGATCCCAAAAGGGTAAAACCTTTTGGTTCCAGGTTGTTTGGGCAATTGAGTTTAAGAAGGGTTTCAAAAGAACCATACGTTTCAGAGGTGCGAGGCTCACAAAGCCACATAAAAAAACTGACTCGCTGGTATGGTTCCCCTACCCAGAACTCTGCACCTTCGAACATGCGGGCAGCAAGACGTCGAAATATATTAGGAGGCCGCATGCGTAGGACTTGTCACTGCAAATGGAGATGGTTGCTCGTGAACAGGGTGCAAACCATTTGGGAATGAATGGGTGACCAGGGCAACAAAGCGTTTGATGACCATGCAAGTGGCTGTTCAACTGTCCGGACAGTTCTTGGCTTGTCAGTCTTGATGTTGAGAGCATTTGGCAACCTAAGGACAAGGAGCGAAAAGACAAGGAGAAGGCGGCGGGGTCTCACTGTATCCGAGCCTCGAGGGGGCGGATCAAAAGGGGAAGTGGGTTTGTGTTCCTTCCACTTTTCCACCGAGTCAACCACTTGGGGTTTTGGAGGTACCCTGTAGGTGTTGGATGTATTGAGCGTGTGGGCACAAGATGGTTTGGCAGAAAAGGCAATGGGTGAGTGTCAAGTGTTCGAGTTGTCTTGCTCGGGATGCCAGCGTGGCCTGGAAGGAGGTCCGTGTTGTACATTTCACATTTCATGATGTATCTTTGTTCTGGAAATTGGTTTGGATGCGCTTTTTGTGGATTTCACCAGTTCTTCCCCCTGTAGGTTCTTTTTTAGTACTCTTAATATCCTACAGGGGTGGATCCACAAAAGCCGCATCCAAACCGTTTTCTAGATTTGTTGCCTGGGGGCAAGTTTGCTTTCTGGCTGATGACAATTGGCTGTGTATGCGAGGTGTGATAGCAAGCTTCTATTGCATTGCGGCACTGATAGCTTCAAGTGCGGATTCCTACAGTGCAACCTCATTCATGCGTAGATGGTTTAGTTGCTTAAGCTCGTATTTCACTTCGCCCTTCCAACACATTCATTGTGAAGCTAAGCATCCGTGGGATCTGCGATCCG